TCCCTCCGTGAACCCACATGGCTTATGGATACCGGTGCCACACACCACATTGCCTCAAACCCAGGTACTCTTTCTCATGTCTCTTCTCAAGTTTTATATTCACCTCACTATATCACTGTTGGTAATGGATCTAAGGTTCGCACTACGGCGGTTGGTAGCCACACCCTTCCCACCATCCCTCCCCTCTCCCTAAATAATATCCTAATATCCCCCCATATCACTCATAATCTTATCTCTGTTCGCAAACTCACTCGTGATAATGACTGCACTGTTGAATTTGATGTTCATGGTTTTTCTGTAAAGGATCGTCAGACGGGGACCGTGATGCATCGGTCCAATAATGCAGGTCCTCTCTACCCAGTTGACCATCTAGCCTCGGCTCAAGCTCACGTCTCGTCCGTAGATCATCAAACCTGGCATCGTCGTCTCGGCCATCCAAGTCCTGCGGTCCTGCGTGGTGTCCCTTCTATTTTTCCTTTATTTAAAAATTATCATCAAACTCTTTGTCATGTGTGTCAATTGGGAAAGCATGTGCGCCTCCAATTTATTCTTCGAGTCGAGTCTCTTATTCTCCTTTTCAACTTTTGCATACAGACTTATGGCAATCACCTGTGCCAAGTGTTACTGGTTTTAAATTTTATATGTTGCTGTTAGATGATTTTTCTCATTATTTGTGGGTGTTTCCTTTAAGACATAAAAGCGATGCTTTTACTCACCTAAATTCCTTTGTGGCATATGTGAAAAATCATTTTAATACAACAATAAAATCTGTTCAATGTGACAATGGAACTGAATATAGAAACTAACCTCTTAAAAATATTTTTGACTCCTTGGGTATTCTTTTCCGTTTTTCTTGTCCCCATACTAGTCAACAAAACGGACGCGCCGAACGTACCATTCGCACTATTAATAACACCGTCCGTTCGCTCCTCTTCCAGGCTCAACTTCCCCCTGAATTCTGGGTGGAAGCCCTCTATATGGCCGCCCACCTCTTCAACATTCTTCCCACTACTGTGTTAAACAACCGCACTCCTCACTCTGTTCTCTACAACTCTCCCCCACACTACTCTCATCTTCGCGTTTTCGGTTGCCTTTGCTACCCGAATATCTTCGCCACCGCCCCACACAAACTTGCACCACGTTCCTCTCGTTGCGTCTTCCTCGGCTACCCCTCGAATCAACGTGGCTATCGATGTCTTGACCTTCAAACGAACAAAATCATTATCTCTCGTCACATTGTCTTCGATGAGCACACTTTTCCATACACCCACCCCCTCACCCCTCCCGATCATCAATTTCTGGACACCACCGATGATGGACCCAACCC